TACTATGGAGAAGTAATTAGAAACCAAATGCTGTTTGTAAATAACAAAACCAATCAAAACAATGCCATGGTATTATAAATCTTTCTGAAAAGTTGTGAAAATAATTATGGGTAATATCTAGTATACAATATTAGAACAATTTTATGACATAAAAAAACATAATTATTATATACAGAAATATAACAATACCGTGCGTCGCAAATACGTCATTATTGCCACGGTTCATTTGACGACTCGTCCCTGCTTTAAAAGTCCCACTACAATGTGTATACACCGGCTATCAATCTACAGGCACAGGAAACCCCAATTTACAAATTGCTACTTTACTGAATGAAAAACTTTACTCTCCAGGTTTTATGACCGCCTAGTAGGTCCAGTCGTCGAAACCGGCAGGAAGATTTTGTTTCATAGATTCTTAGTAACATGGAATCTTTGCACAGCATAAGCTAACATCGTTCTCTGTAACATACAATTTATAATATCAAACAGTTGATAATATTTCCTTTCTTTTCTATTCTTTCCTAGAAAATTAACCGCAATATTATCTAACGCCGATGCTTCAAAGAATTAGACGATACGACGACGGTATAATTAAAATAATCACTTACCATTTATAAACCAGTTTCAGTCTTTCAGTCATTGTTCTAATTCGAAACATGCAAAGTTATCGTGTTAATAGTTATACTCGGGCGGGAGAGTTATCAGCTAAACCGCTCGCCAGGCGGCGGTCAATTTAACAATAAGCGGTATGTTGACACGCAATTAAGCCTGCACCCGCCGAGCAAACCTTGCGTGCCAATGTCGCACGCTAAAAATCACACACCGAACTTTGGTTTTATTGTTGAACAACGCCAACGGACTAAATAACGACCTTTTAGTGTTAAAACCAAAATAAACGCGTTCAAATTCCTGGTGGGTTGTTTCTTTTTTTACAAAACAGTAAATTCACTAGTGCACACTGTATTGTGCCAGTATTTTTGCTGGTACTCCTAGCTTTTTCTTTATTCTCTAGACTTTCTATTTATCTCTAACTTGGAAAAATAATGTAATTATTGTAAATAGCACAAGAGTTTCTTTAAATAGGACTGTACTTTAAATAAACGTGTCAGAGAGTTTTAAAACTTGGTCTGACGGAGTTAGCCTACTTGCTGGGACTTTACTTAGCACTCCGGTCGCGAGCTGCTGACCTATTAGAGTCGAGCGGTGGCCATATAGCCGATGACCGTTACTGGCGCAACTATTTAATCGAACTGATGGCCACGTGTCGGCATTCTGCAGCTCATATTTCATGGAAAAATAATGAAATAGGAAAACCGTTTTATACGTGGAACGTTAAATACGATAAAAGCTTCAGTCGTATTGCATTGTAGCATTACTTTATACCAAAAACTTCAAAGTAAACAATTGTTAGAATGAATATCTTTGATCAAAAAATATATCCGATGTACTAACAGTAATTCCTATTAAACGATTTACAAAAACACATAAAAATCACGGACACATTTTCCCATATTTCACTAAAAAATGTAGGCACCATTTTTTTCGTACAAAACAAAAAAATGCTGGAATCAAATTAACTCACAACCTTCCCATGAAAGGCGAAAAAGGTATTTTTATTTTCGGTGGATGTATTTAAAGCGAGGAACACGACCCAAATAGAATCAGAGGCGGGAGCGTTAGCACGAAAGTGTCAAAGACATAATAAATTGTAGGATGTAGGTGCACACTCGGAGCTCCCTTTATTAATCTCATTTAAGACCGATTGCCCCTCCAATCGTCCGTGAACAATTTTCACAGTATTTCTGAATTACGAATGAGTTTTACTCAGTAGGTAATGGGTAACCAGTTTTTCTGCAAATGTTAATGTCTCCATTTAAGTGTGGATATCGTTTTCCGATATTGGTTGACTAAACGAACAACGCGCTAGATACTTACGTAGCTTCCGCTCGGGAAATCTCATCTTGGTTATTTTCTATTGGTTTGACTTTTATTTTTCTTTGCTCAAGGTCGATGTTTAGTATTAATTATTCTACTTTAATACATCATATAATACATGATAGGATATGAAATTGACTAATACCTTAAAGGAGAACGTGTTTAATAAAAGAAGTTAATCTGACTCGTAGCCATGCGTAGCAAACTGGGTCCTCCGCGTAGCAATTTGCTACGACCAGACACTGATCATCTACATCAATACTTTAATTATACTAGTTATGTTAATTATTTATTGTTATACATTAACTCGTCGAGTACCGGTTTTATAGACACAATTAAAGAAAAATAGGTCGCGTTCACCGGTGACCGCTTGGTGTTTGACAGTTTAATATATTTAGTCTATGATAATAATATATAAAAATAATAAACTTATTAATTTATTACTTATTTATTGTCACGCGTAGCAATGCGTAGCATGTAAGCTACGACGTAGCACTTCAAGTACAGTTTATGAGTTACGACAAATAACACGGTGTTAAAGGATGTGATATTGAAACTTAAACTCAATATAATTTAAATAGAAACTAAATTCAAACAACCACTTCACAATGCAGCAACTTATGTTTAAAATAAAATAACCATAATGTTCGTTAGTAACAGTTAACGTTAACATTTTAATCCGGGAGCGAGACAGTAAATTATGCGACCGCGGTAACAGCGGGGCTAAATTGCTACAGTGAAAGCACTAAATACTAATATATTAAGCAAATTGCTCATTAAAAACAACAATGGAACACCTGCGTTTTGTGACTGTGTCCTACAATACAACACAACACAGAGGGTGGAACTACACAGTGCTGCTAATTACCCTCCCAGAGCTTTGTCAGAGAAGCAGTTTGCGTAATCATAAATTGCAGTTAGCAATTGTAAATATATATACGTGTTTATTACGAATTCGTACTTCTATTTGTCAGAAGAGTCCTATGTTAATTACGTAGTTTTCATTAGTTTATCTTAATTGTTCTATCCAATTCGTAAATTGCGTTGGAGGGTTTTGCCAAGATATTCTAATTTAACAAAATAATATGCTGAATATTTTTTTAATGGACAAAGTACATGGATTCATCACATAATTCCTATTATTTCCTATGAGTTATTTTAAAATGGTGGCCTCTACATATTTTTTTTACATAAAACATTGACCAACATAAGTCAGGCTAAACAGGAATGGTTGACGCCAATTAACCTTTAGCTCAAAGCGCCGTTAAATGTACGACGACTCGACACACGCACGTACATAAATACTTATTTCGTAGATTGTATGTAACTTAGATTTTGATCAATACAATAATTATTGGGAACACACGCAACTTATTCACGAACTTAATGTACTTGCTTCGTATAATATAGTCACTTGTACATGTTTGTATAGGTAAGCAAAGCAATAATTATTTTTATTAATCTAACTTAGACTGCGTCGTTGGCCGAGTGGTTGCTAGTGCGACTGCCGAGCAAAGGGTCTCGGGTTCGATTCCCGGATCAGGTAAAGTATTATTGGGTTTTAAAAAAATAATCAGTGGTAGCACGGAGTCTGTAATTGTGTCCGATATATGGCAATAGGCTCACCCCTATTATAAGGGACTCATAACATAAATAGTGAAAAGTGGGTGTAACATTGTACAGTGGCATTAAGTGCCGCAATGTGCACCTCTGCCTACCCATAAAGGCGTGATGTTATGTTATGTTATGATTTGATACTAATTAAAATAATTGCCAGGACGACCACTATGAAACAAATAAGAAGTACTAATATTTATTAAATTAATTTTATGTAGAAGCATCATCACTAATTCTGTCCAATTTTGTATTGTTCAGATTGCACTTTTCTTATTTAGGCAAACTCTTATTCAACTTTAAATAATGCCGTAAACACCAGAAATGTAACACCATGGCTTAGTAGTAATATATTACAGTATTCAATGCATCCGAGTCTATCAGCCGCATAAATTGGAAGATTTTCCCAGCGGTCGTCAGAAGCTCGTTAGGCTGCAAGCTACATCGCTTGCATCCTACCCAGACCCAGATAATAATAATGTGTATCATGTTATAATAAGTTTTACTCTAAAACTTAACTATCCTAACTTTCAGTGCGTCATAACCTATAATTGTTATTTTTAAATGGATTCAAATACATAAGTAAACTATCTAAGTAAACTGAAATATATATGTTACAGGTAGAATCAAATTAGTATTTGTCAAAATAAAATAAACGTTTTTAGAATGTTCTGGAAAGTTAACTGTTAATCCCACTAATCAAAGCTTTATATTTTACTGCGCATAAAGTTTTGAACTTGTTTCATATTAAACTAAAAGAATTCTAACTGTACATGAGTACAGTACCACAAAGTAATCACTCAATTTGAGGCAAAGAATTCGACAGTCCTTTTAAAAACTGTGATAAACTTTCACTAGTTGCAATCAACTGCAAGCAACAGCTAGATAAAACTTAACACCAAATAAATGGTTCGATAATTTAATACATTGAAATGATTCCTGGTCTGTTGCCAAGACACATAAACAAGGTGAACTTAATAAATAAATTGATAACTGCTCTCTGTATAAGCTTTCCAATTAATTCCATTGCGATTCCATTTCATTGTTTGCAAAAATATCGAAATACACTCTCAGAGGCATTGTGAAGATGTTTCGGCGGATATTGGTAACAAAAGGATCGTGATTTTTTTGTTTGAAAATGTTTTTCTTTCAGTATTTCGAGACGCTTTCAAAATCAATTTTGTTACTTGTACTGTTTTAGATGTGGTTTTATTATCTTTAATGAACGTCAGAAGATGAAATATGATTTGAAGAATCAATGTTATAAACCGATTTAAAACAGAATAGGTCAAATCACTGATACCACAGTCGTGACGCGACTTCTTTATGCTGAAATCATCTACGTACGACTAACGAAATTAAACATTATTTTATATTATTTAGTGCTTCCATGACTTATTTAATTAGGTACTACGAATAACAGAAATTTCAAATGTGTTTTCTTTTGTCGTGCAGGTCGCGCAATCGAGCGCGTGTGCGCAGGAGCAGACGGCGCGGGCATGGTGTCGGCGGCGCGCGCGCTCCTCGCCGCAGTTACCAGGGTGCTACTACTCGCAGACATGGTCGTCGTACGACAATTACTACTGGCTAAAGATAAGGTAGTTTATTCAAAAAAGTTATATATTTTTCATAATTAACATTAGTTAATATCTTCACTCTCGTATGACCTAGATACATTAATTCCTCTAAAATCCTAACCTAAGTTTCTAATATCTACAGTAGTCTAAAATAACCACATATGTCAATGTACCTATAGCACCTAATTTTATATTGACCAAACCAAGTAACTGGCGACGATAAACTTAATCATACACCTCTGTCTACGCCTACGTCTAAGGGTGTAAAAGCATGATTTTATGTCCCTTAGTAATTACAAATGTCTATTCTATTTGTATTACTCATCCTACTTCCACGTCGTCGCCCTTCTTACGACTGTTTTATGTTGTTATTTAAAGGCTACGAGATGTCCATTTTATTATGTGCTTACTCGAAATACTACACTACTGAATAATGTCTTCTGAAATTCAATCAACACAGAGCTTACTACAACATCCTCTGACAATATTTATATGAACATTTTAGCAACTATAAGAGACATATTAAAATAAAAGTTTGTAGTTCACAGAAATAAACTTAATATATTTTATTGTGTAATAGAACAAAGTAACGTAAATCAAACTAAACATATCGAAATCTAATGAAACAGATTAAATTGTGCTTCCGATAATGGCTTTGTAATCCTTTATCTAACTATACCTAGATTTATATCACTTTCCTAATCCAAGGGTAAGCTATTAATGGACAAAGTTATATGGAAATACCTTCTACGTCGAATTACTTGTAGATCAACGGTCTCTGTGCCGAAGTAAGGCCTTGACCTATTTGACGGGAACGACCGACGAGTACGGATGTATTTGTAAATACGACGTCCCATAATTTCGTGAGCCAGTTGGAGTGGCGCAGTGCACGAACATGTAGCAAATTCTGCTAACCGTTTCAAATCCCACGCGGCAGGTATCTATTACAATATTAGCAAAGTTCGTGGGATAACTTTGTCCTTGTGGGTTGTAGTTTCCTAGTTTGTGTATGTGGTGTTCGTTGTTCCTTGTCTCGGATATTGGACGTACGTGCAATGGCTTTGTGACAGTATGCATGTGTGCGACAGGTTGCGCGTTCCTTGGACCGGTTGGAGTCGGTCTCGAACTTCGCGGAGTTCGTGCGCGCATTCACGGAGTTCGGGGGCGGTATGGTGGAGCTAGCGAGACTGACGGCGGAGAGGCGAGCAGACCTGCGCGACGAGAGAAGAAGAGCACAAGTAGCAGCCGCCAGAAACGTCCTTGAACGATCCACACTGATGCTACTCACTTCCTCGAAGGTAATTACTACCATCAACATTTATTACTCATTCACAAAAACTCATTAACGTTTCTCACAAAAAGGTCACGGAAAACATACGTTCAAACTAAATGCAGAAATAGGTTAACTGTGTGTTTTTAAGGTTTCTCTTGAAATTGTGTAACATACATACAAGTTAAACCAGTATTTGGAAATACTAATTACAAGTCTGAAGCTCGTAAAGCTGCAGAAACAAACTGTGTTGTTGTGGTTTGCGAATAACTTCTAATGTGGTTCAATCAGTCGAGCCCACGGTGTAGGTGGACGGCAGACAGGCAATATTATTTTGCCGAACACTCTCACGTATAACATTGTACAAATGTACAGCCCAATCCTCTTACCAAATGTATTGGTTACGAAACGAAACCGTAGTTGCTTTATTATTTATACATTTTATCAGTAGCAAGGCATACCTTTCCGTCTGTTAGATTTATTCGCCTGAGTGCTAAATCCAATTACGGTTGTGTGCACAGTCATTGAATTGACAAACCCTTAATAAAGCACCTTGATGTGCCGAGGGCATGTTATTAACACCGATGGACAGTAATAAATTTTCAATCCGAGTGTCCGGTGAGGCCCGTGGCTCGCGTAAATTAGCCCTGTCGCTTGACCGCCGCTCCTCCTATCAATTATGTAGGTTCCAAACCCAATTCGGACCACTCGGCGTTTGTTTGTGACATCACAGTTTATGGACGACCATTCCTCATACTAATTCTGTAGACAAAACTGCAGAAGACAATGCCAATAGCAGGCCCTCATTTAATGGTAAGTTGTGACTTAGTTTCGTCAGCAGTCAGCGGGTATAAAATATGTAGTTGAGAACCCGTTCACAACTACATATTTGTTATTGTTTAAAGTGATAAATTTGTTTTGTGGGTAATATCTCTTACTACGGTACACTGCTTCAGAAAATGCTTTAAAATGAAACCATTTTCTAAAAGAGATAAGAATTGCCATCTTGTTTTAAAGACCGAACTTACTCAAAGTAAACACGACCGGGCACTTTTATTTCCTTGGGACTTAAGAAATGAAATATCTTAAGTGCCCTGATAACGTAAAGTTTTGAAAGCGATGTTTCATAAGAAGGATCCGTCTTTGTCCAAGGTATAGGTCACTTGCTAAACTGAACAAAAACTGCCAAGGGGACGATGTAATCCAGTTAATGGCCTCGTTATGTGGAGTGGATAAAGATACGTATCGCAGCAGATGTATTTGATGTTGACATGACCGTCCAATTAACTACAGAGAAAAATATTATTAGCAAAATTGTATCCTAGCAATAATTACACATTTCAAAGACGTTTTTATGTATATTCTAATGTTTTCTTGAATAGTTTCTGTATATGCATATTTATTATGTTGCTAGTGTCAAATGTGTCATGAGTAGGGTGAGTGAACAATCGCAGTCAACTGTGTGATGGCAAAGCTAGCAATTTGTCAGCGCTTCCGAGCGTCGAGCGTGCGGCACGCCGATGCCTCCCCCAGCCATTCACATGGCATATTTTACAAGACTTTTAATTTTTTCCAGCGCTCTACATAGATGTAAAACTCTGATAAATAGTTTAAACAATTCGCTTAAAACAGCTGTGTGTTATTATAATAATTGTAGAGGAACAATTTAATCGTTCGTAACTACGTGCACAAGTTTGCAGCACCTATGTGGCAGTTCTCGACGCCTTCCGCCAACTCAGAATGGGAAGCAGAAGTATGCACAAACTTCGCGCCAAGTGATCGTATAGGTAGTCCGCAAGTAATTTATATTGAGTGCAAACTATTCTAGCGTATTAATAACGGGTTTGCAGAAGTATGTGCAATTATAATGTTCGTGTAGTTTCTCGATCAATAGGTACTATTCGCAGAAAGTCAACCGCAAAAATGTAGGCCGCTACAATAGCAACTGACAATTTTCCATCGTTGCTATTAGCCACTAAACGATTGTACGAACGGTACACAAGTGCAATTTTGATTGCAATCGTTATAACCGCAGCGGACACGAGCGTGCACGATGCTATTATGTGATGCTCTTTAAACTGTCGCAAAAATGGCCGGTGATTTTTCTACCATTTTTGAACTGAAATTGTTTTTGACAATCGATTTTTAACGCTTATTGTGATGAAATGAAAGCACTTATGCACCATTTTTGCATGTAACTTATCAATGAATTTTGCTTCAGTTGGAAGATGTTTTTTTTTAATAAAACGTCGCAAATGTGTATAAACAATGTCCAATTACACCTGATGAGAGTAACAAGTTTAGTACTGGTAAGCATTTTAGTTCCAAAGATGCGTCTTAGGTAGCTTCACATATTAAGAATCCTTTAGTTTCTTCTCCAAAGTGTCACCCTATAAACCACGCTAGTAACTGATGGGTCTTCATTCAAGTCTTCTACAGCAGTCACTTTGTCTTGAGACTAGCTAAATATTTGTTCTAGAGCGACTTGCCTCGGGCACCCGAGCGACGGGTTGACGCAAAAGAAACGCGGAAAAAAGAAAGAGATTTATTTTAAAAAACTGTAGGTAATAAAGGGGTTTCTTGTAAAAGAAATTTGTGGACTATGTTCAGATACTGTACTGAAAAATATCAGTTTACAAAACTCTTCACAGATTTATTTAATTAACGTAACAGATACTAAAAGATATAGCTTTGAATATGAAATTAAAGAATTATATTTTCAGTTCTATTCTCCAAAGATACTGATTTACACATTGATTGTCATACACGAAATATGAAAATGTAGTCTACCATTTCTTGCAGCACCTAAAAATACTGTTCTTCATACTAAATTAACAGAATATGTTGTATGTGTGTTCACCAGACGTGTATGAGGCATCCAACGAGCGCATCGGCACGCGAGAACCGAGACACGGTGTTCTGTCAGATGCGACGAGCCATGGACCTCATCCACTACGTCGTGAGGGACGGCCTGCCCGGCCACGAGGAACAATCCCACGAGGTTTGATGTCATACTCCAATTACTTTCAATATTATACCACCTTTATTTCTCGACCTAAATTATTTCCTTTAACAAAGACGTTTGCCATGAGCAAGTCCTATGACACTATTAAACAAGGTATCTAGAAAATGATTGATACGGAATCTGGTCTCCAACTGAAGGCTTTATTTAACATTTTTCATATATCTAACAATTCAATATCTAACCTGAAATATTCGCCGAATAAGTACGAAATGTAAAATCTGTTTGCTCGTACCTACGTAACACATTAATGGCTTCTTGTAATTGATACGTTACCCAACTGACGGTGAAAAGTTTGACAATATATTTGAGCCATCCTTTAGAAACTCTATAGAAACCCAATAAAACCGTGGCTTCTACGCATATTCATATAAGGGTATAAATTGCGTGGCACATTTAGGCGTCGGGTGACAACAATAGATGCAGTAAATAATGTCCTACAATGCGTGACTCCAAACATCGTATAGTTGGCTTCGAGCATTCCCGCGGGAACGATGTCGATCCACGAATATATTTTACTGGTGAAATTAATTTAATTTTACGACCATATTACGATTTTACAGCTTTATCAGGATACACGTAAATATTGTTAATCGTACTGCGTACCATCCATTCATATGTGACTATATTTCTAACGTAACTTAAGTCTACTAAATGCTTTCTTTACAAGGCACCCCAAACACATTTTTTTAACATTCTCTAGTAATATGTCTCATGATTAGCCGCTCTTAATTTTTCAAAAAGTCCAAACCTCACTTTTGTAGGCACTTTCGTGAGTCCGATATTTGTAACCTAACTTTGCGTTGATTTTTTCGGTTGAAAGGAAATAATATTCCGTCTCATATCCCAGAGCAATTCCTTATCCAACCAAGGAAAGTAGCCCATATCCTTTTCCGAGACATAAGCTTCCTTTATGCAAAGTTTCTATGTCAATCGATGTATACCTTCAGACACATCAGATGGACAGTTTATGTCGGGATCAACGTCAGATTCCCTCGATCCTAGCTAACTTTAAAAATGACCTTTTTCTTAAGAAAATCTACTTCATAGTCTGCTATTTGATAGGGATATCAAACTTATTTCAACTTCTCATTGTAAATAGAAAAGTTGGGTAAAGAAAATAAGACGTCGAAGCCAACTTTCATTGGAGTTTAGCTGCATTTATAAAGTTTGCTTTGCAAAAAATAGGACTTTAAAAACGCTGGCTCCCAGGCAGCAGTATACAATCTCACTGTCGGAATCCGAGTGCAATGTATTTCAAATGTTCCACGAAGAATTGGCAGATTTTCACAGATGACATTTTTTGTGAACAACAAATGGGAACAAAAAGCTTCGGTGAAATATCAGAATATCTGAATTTCATGCCAGCTACACTACAGCGAAAAATGGGGACAGTAGCTGCATTATTTTTATTTGCGATGTGTAGCGCTTGAAGCGATGTAAGGCAAGAAACCATTAAGTAAGGCGCCACAAGTGCAAACATTTACCGACTAGTACATGTCACCGTCTAAACAAGTTTAACGGGGCGACGCGCGCCACTAAGCACGTTCCGGTACTAGGAAATTGTTGTTATACCGTCTCACGTCACATTATTGCTAAATGGATCATACGTCTTACTGAAATATGGAACATGCAAACTTGATATATGTAGGTAAGGTCACTGCGCTGCTTGTGTCGGTTTACAACTTGCAATCTTATTTCTTTGTAAAGTAACCAAATTATAAAAAGACTCCTTTGCAGCGAGGCAGTTGGACTGCATAGGCCAATCAATGAAAAAGTCAATCAAATAAATAGTTGACCGATATATTTTGAAAAAGACACAAAATTAGAAGATCTGTTACTCATAATAAGAAAGAAGCCATAGAAATATTAAACACTTCAATTATGGGTTTTACATAGATATATCTATGTAAATATCGCAGAGATAGAGTTGATACAGCACTAGTCCGCGATATACTTATACGTATGACAGTAGAGTGGCTTCCGCAACTCCGCGACTCTCCGGAATCCGGAACAGATATGTACAAACTAATGGGGAAAGTGTCCACAAACTTTACCCGGCTGATTACTGATATAAATCTACCGTACAATGCAAATACCTCTTCGTTAACATTATGTTTCTAGACATTATGGTAGATTTTTGTAATCAACTGTAAAAATATTAAAGTTTATTTAATAATGAATGAATTCCACGTCTCTTATACAATAAATCCGTGTATTCAATAAATTATTTAACTAAACAGAATTACCAGATTGACGAAAAAAGTTAGTGTTATTTTAAATGCCACTGAAGAAGCTGACTAAAACTAAGTTTTCTTTGTTTCAAAACAAAGCTTAGTTTTCTACGGTTGAATTGTAAGATGTCTAAGTATACTGTGTGCTAGGAAAAGTACGAATAGAAAAGTAATTTAAAAATGATAGTATCGATGGCTTATCATGCCAACTGCATCTAGCGATCTAGATCAGCACTATCTTGATGGGCAGTCTTCTCTCTAGGCGTAGTAAACTGCCTGCAGTTTATAATAACTATTAAACTTGTATCAAAAATTATTAAATTGTTTCCCAACTTTTTCGAACGAAGGTACTCATTTGAATTTTAGTATCAACTGTTTAGTTATGTTTCTCTTTTCACTCGTATTTTCTATAACTAGTAAACCACTATTTGACAGAACTCTGACAACAATTTATATGTATAATTCTGGAACATTATTAAGCAATATTCTCATATTTCTGGAAAAGTATAGCAAGAAATAATTTCTAGAAATATGAGAATATTTTTTCATAATTTTCCAAAACTATGCAATAGCGTAATATTATTTACGTATTTTTTATAACTTGTAAACTAAGTATAAAATAACTACTAAATACCTACTAATAACTAAGTAAAAAATTAAATAAATATACTCAAAGTTTTATAAAATATTCATAAATAGGTAAGTGATTATTCTGAACAATTTTACTGAAACTTTCAGCTTTTCACAACCACAGCTGAGCAAGGCATGGAAATCTCAATACTTTTTTCTATGTTCATCTAGAAATTAATAATAACTTATCTACTGATTACTATTAACAATTTCTTTCACTGATGCTGTGTCTCTCAGTTACTCTGTGACACTTGTTTGTGATGCATATTCTTCGAACATAAACACACTTTTATTTTCTTTTCTTGTAGATGAAACCTTTCTCGGATAGTCATGAACAGGTATAAATTTATAGCAAGCAGGTAGTCGAGTGCATTCAGTTTTATGTAAGAATTTATTGTACATATAATAAGCACTAGATTATTCTCTTGTATGCTTTAATTTTTAATATTTCTTCGTGTATAATTTGTATGTTTAGTACCTGCAATTTGCTTCCTCACTTTATTTATAAACTCTTTATTTATCTATAACCTTTTTTCTATTTTTATCACTATCAATTTATTAAATGTATATTTAGTTATATTGAGCAATTAATTTAGCAAATGGATTAACATTCAATCGCTCTCAGTTCCCCATTGATCTCGTTTGTCTTTCAGGTTTAATCATATTTGAGGAAGCATTCCGTTCTGTAAATTCGTATTATGTAAAGAGCACCAGTATTTTATAAAACGTAGTTATAGATTTTAAATTTTTAACGATCAAAAACATTTTTTTAATTCGTCACAAACTCTGCTAATAACCACGCTCCAAACAGCTTAGCTATAGCGGCCTGGCTAAGCTTCCCGCTACCTAACTAACTTTATAGGTATGTATAACACTTTCTTCAATTAGGTTTTTAAAACCTAAATCTTAAAGCTGTAATGTGGTGAGTAAACATTGTAAAGTCTGTATAAACAATATGACCATAGGTATGTGATGTAGACTTCCAAAATGTGATAGTCATTTACGCTTATTAGATAACTAGCACTAATTTTATTTCACTGTTACATTCTTATAACATATTTTTCACTTTTTTCAAGGCTAAAGTGTATCACTTATTTTCTGTAGGTATTTAGTTGTCCCGTGATTAGATAAGTGTAAGGTAGGAATCTGCTATTTTTACATTCTTAAAATTGGATTATGTGTGTTATATTAAAATGCAGACAATGTATAGGCTGCGCAATGGGAAGCGGGCACGGCTCTGGGCGCGCTGCGTGGTCTAACGGGGCAGGTGAGAACCGCGCGCGCGCGCGGTGGCGCCGACATCACGCGCCGACGCTCGCTCGCCTCCACGCTGCGCGCGCTCGTCGAGCGCACGCACGATTTTACAGACTCCGCATATACCTCGCATGAACATAGACAACGGATACTAGCCCTCGCTGAAAGAATAGCTTACGAATTGGAGAGACTAGTTGCTGTCGCTGTTTCACTGGTAAGCTACCACTATCATTTCACATGATCGACTTATATAAAGATTTTATTAAGTATGCATAATTCAGGAAGAGCAAGGTGCCAGTGGTACTGCAACAGCACTCGAGAGTGCTTGCACAGGCGCGACCAGCGCCGCATCGGAGCTTGAACGCGCGCTAGTTGCTGCAGCGCGCGATCAAGCGCGAGATCTCGCCCCCCTCGCGGACGAAGCGAAGAGACTCGCCTCCGACCTAGCATATATAGGTAAACAAGCAGGTATACAGTATTATACTAACACTAACACGTTAAAGAGATGTTGTACGGTCAAAGGTCAAAAGTACACTGCCACCGTAAGACTACTATCGGTTGCGCTGCAACGCTTATACACACATACACACGCATATTTTATCCGTGTGCGTACGCACGCGTTTTTATGCATATTAATATGAAATTACTTACGCATTGCCGTGTGAACATCAGTGAACTTTTGACTCTTGACTGTATTTTCACGGCTTCTGAGTTTCAATATTGTTCAGAAGAAGTGCACTTCAAACTACAGCCAAACATTTGATTTACAAACTATTTTCACCTGCAGCTAGTTCCTGTGGTGAGAGAGAATCAGAGAGACTGCACAATATAGCCAGCCGGCTCCATGAACAATTAGATCACATTATAGAGGTAACTTTTCATATTTCAGCCTGTAATGGATAGCTGCGGAGGTTGTTTAAGATGAACAATGTCTGATAGTATGTTTTCCAACAGGTTTGCAAATTATTAAGGCATATAGCCTTGTCGGAGACTTTGCAAGTCAGTGCAAAGTTTGCAGAAATAAATCTTAGGATATACGGTCCGCAAGTGGTGACGGCTGCGCGGACGCTGGCGGCTCACCCCGGCAGTACGGCGGCGCGGGAGAACCTCGACGTGTTCGTAGACATGTGGGCGTGGCTGCTGGCCGACGCAGCACGCCTAGCGCGCGAACTCCTCGACCTCACCGATGACAGACCTGACAAACAGCAGTATAGCAGTTTACCGAGGCCTGGGGTAAGTTAAAAGCAACATAATATCCATGCCAAAATGTTACAATTCAAAGCAAATGCAAAAGTTAATAAGTTTGGAGATATTATTAATCTGGAATCTCTAGAAGATTTTTAAACCTAAGTGTATGATGCATGCAATATTTAAATGTTAAATCTACATAAAATTATGTTCATTACTTCATAGAAACACGGGACTACAAGCAAGCCTCTGAAAGCAGTAAGGTTGGATTCTGACGAGCAAGCAAAAATCGCAAAATCCGGCTTAGAAATGAAAATGATGTCCTCTGAAATGGATGCCGAGACTGAAAAATGGCAGGGCGCAGCTGCCGACGAGAACAACGACATTGTGAAGAGGTACTTACCGACTGCTACGAATTTCGATTTACTATTGATACGTACGCATACCACTTTCATAAATACGAAATGTTCTTAATAATTTACAGGGCAAAAAATATGTCTTCCATGGCCTTCGCTATGTACCAATTCACAAAAGGTGAAGGCCGTCTAAACACTACTCAAGACCTCTTCACACAAGCGGAATATTTCGCAGAGGAAGCCAATAGACTTTATAAAATAGTGCGACAATTTTCTTATCAGGTAAACTAAACAAATAGCGGAGTGAGACAGTTACAGGTTACTGATAAAGTGTCTATCATACATGAAATATATTTTAAGGTGCCTGCGGGAGCAACAAAAAAAGAACTGCTAGAGCATCTTGATAAGGTGCCGACGTATGTGCAACAGCTACAGTTCACAGTGAAGGAGCCGACGGTGGGCCGCGCAGCCACCTTCAGCAAAGTAGACAACGTCATACAGGAGACCAAACATCTCATGAACGTTATTAGTAAAGTCGTCACTACATGTTTCGACTGCGCCAACAAGGTGACCACTTATTCCATAAACTTATTTGACTATACAATTACATTTTTAAATTTCTTTTTCGAGCAACACATCGCACTTTTTGACAGATTAGTAAATTTTCTAGGAAATGTAAAGATTTTAGTGCATTGGAACATAATGTTCCATAGGTACCTTTGCCGTGGGAGGCCCGTGTGGGAGTGGTTAAAAGGCACCAGAGTGTTGCACCTGTTAAGTACTTTAAAGATTATATTTCATTCGTGATTGTTAGAGTTTCGGGAAAGCGGTGAAACAGTGTGATTAAAGTTACGAGGTTTATTCTTGAATGATATTTATACATACCTATAAAAATAACTGAGATTGTTTCTGTAAACCGGAAAATAAGCATCAATAACAGCAAGAATAAATCTCATTAGTTTATTAGATCATAGTTTTATAAATAGTAATAGAGCAGTTTAAATATGAAGAATCCCAATTTTGTTTACTGTTATTGTTGTATTTATTTTGTATCTGTTTCCTTTCTTCATGCACCGGGTGGTTCCGTCCACTCCAGGGTCTTATTCCGCTGGACAAAGCGATAAACAAAACTTCAGCACAGACGAGGGACGACTCGGTCTGTCTCTACTTGCACCCCCTATACAGTATCACTATGTTCACGTATCTATATGTGTATCGATGTATATGTAGAACAGCACGTTAATTATATTCATTCGCATACAGACATATTTGTTTACACGTACCTTATACATATGCTAACAATGACATATAGGCTCCTCTCTATACAACAATATTCTATTTGCTAAATCCTATTATGTTACAATTACAATTATCGCTAAACTCACCTATGTTTATGATTCCTCTTTTCCTGTTTTGTATACCACGCCCATAGAAACATGTCCAGTAACTTCTGGTTTATTTACTTACATTTTTTTAAGCTTCTTCCATTTTCTCATTTTGTTTCTACGTGTTATTTTGTTATTAAATTTATTTTCAGTATTCCCTATGTATGCCTGAGAGAGTTCCTATGCATTGGAAGCCAAATTTACAAAAAGCATCCACGTATAAGAGTGAAAATAGTGTTCTGAATGGTTGATGTAGGTATTTGTGAATTCAGACTTGTGGTTTTGTTTCGAGTTCAGTTTGTATCGAAAGCAAATCATTAACAAACTGACCAACTTACTAACCGTGGATTTAGTGTAGCATTGTTTGGTGTAACCCATAGCTATTCTTAATGTTGTTGGTGTGATGTTGCGATTGATAACTTATTATTATACTTAGATTAGTATCTGTGTGGTATTTTTTAATTTATTCACTTTAATTTCATAAACCAAAAATGAACTTAAGTGAATCAACTTTTTTCTATTTTAAGTAAATTTTGCTCCAGTTTATCTAATGTCAACTAATCAATATATTTTCGTACTTTAAAGTACATATTAAAATTGCAATTATGTCAATTTCCCCTTGCGCCTAATTTCTCATTTCAATATGTAAGTACTACCTAACTCATGGGTCTATTTGATTCTAATCTTTTAACTATTTGACACAAACTAATTCGCGAGCATGGTGTTTGTTGTTACTGTTAGTGTTGTATTTCATTGAGGCTTATTGAATCTATCAGAGATTTTAAAAAGCATATTTTGAATAAAGTGATTGTAATGGAACATCTGAAAATATGCCTTTGCAGTCCCTAGTCATTGAACAAGGGGCATTCTAGTAATAAATTTCCTATGTGTAATATTCGTTGTAAACTTGTACAATCCTGCTAACTGAAGTTTTGTATGACATACAGTACAACCTGGACTTCACGGGTCTTACGGCGGGAGGTGCAAGCGCTGGCGGGCGCGGCACAGCACGAGACGAGGACGCAGGCGGAGGAGTCGGCGGCGACGCCAAGCCGGGGGGGAGTAGCTCGGATACAGCCATGTGACAGTACGGCATGGGCCGGCGCGGCAAGGGCGACGCGCGCCGGACCAGGGTCAGCTTCCTCTTGTTTTAAAGACTTAAACGTCTTGGAACAACTCGTCGCCTGAAGTCGGAAGAACCGACACGGTGCTGATATACATAAAACTGTGCTTCAATGCCTAATTATAATGGACGGGCTGGATGTATCAAGTAAGCTTTGATTAGTTTAAAGTTTTGAATGTTTGCTCATAACAGTTTAACAGCTGTTTATGAACGGGAATGAATGTTGAAATTAGAAAGGTATACTAAAAGAAAGAAAATGTAAAGAAGTTAGAAAAAATGTGGGATTAAATGAGGCGTATACACAACGAACGGCATTTCGTGCAGCTTTATGGATCTCTAGCACGGTGCCGGTACTGGGGACCACATGCACTGATGTGTAACTGCGACACAATGCCTAACGAATGCATTTTGACGTACGTGCGTGTGGTACTCGCAATCCGACAACCCTTGCTAACAAATGATTATAACTCGCATAAAGGGCCGTTATCCAATCGTTTGTAGCAATTTAATTAATTATAAGATGGACAGTACGATATACAAAGTAAGTTTCTGCAGAGCACTTGCGACACACAAAGCGTCTATTCAACTCAACTCTTAGTATTTTTACTCTTAAATGCTAGATCGCAAGCGTGCGGACGCAACGCATTTGGCTGTGGATCGAAAGTAATAAATAATTATAAGATAATACTTTGTTACTACTTATAATCAGGGCCTTCATTGTTAACACCACGATATTTAAACATATTTTCCTCGAGCGTAGTATTCAGTGCTAAATTATATGATAAAGTAGATAAAACATATACAGACAGTTGCAGCCATTTTATGAATAATGCCTCGAATAGAACAATTTGTGATCAATAATTAAGAAGAGTGAAATCGTACAATAATATAATACTTGTTACACTTTCATAATGTTACACATTGTTACAATTAATACGTAAACTACACAGAGAAGCATATTTTTTTAAGTTTCCCTCTCTTAAGCCTGTTATTATAAGTACTTCTAATCCTACTAACTTATATTATATGTATGTAATATACTGTCCTCTACTATTGTTTACACCTAAGCTACCTACTTCTCTACGCACCCTACTGCACTCTCCGTGGTCCTGTTGCACTTTGTTTTGCGTTATGCACGACCGCTTCCTCACTTTCATTTGGCATCGGTGGCGACATTTGTTTCAGAACATGCTACTTTACCACATTATACTTCAGAACGACACAGTGTTACTCTTGCATTCGATGTTATCGCATTCTAGTCATTTCTCTTCGACGACTTCGTGTACATACATTAGAATACGGTCATATTGACATTTGTGCAAGCTGCGCGTGCGGCTGTTTACATTGCATGATTGTGAAACGGAACAAATAGATGTGTGTTGCATGTGTGTACCGTGGTTAATGGATGTCGTACGTCATCTTTTTGACGGGGAGGATGTTTAATATTAAGATGAGGGAAATTGACTCTGGTGGTTGCCCCAGCAACTCCCACGTCGCCCTGAAACGCAGTGTTATATAGACCTCGGCTATTGACTCACGCCGGCGCTGGTGCAGAACGCGGGCACTCGTTCTACAACCGCTCATGCATGCTGCAATGTGACTGCGCAGGGCTGGCATTGCATGTAGACGCGCATCGCCCGGCATGCGGCATGTCTGCAACATCGCTGATCAGATTACATGTCACGGCAATAATGAACATATCAGTTTGTAGGTTATAGTTTCAACTGCCTACAGACAAACGACAAAGTCGTTATTTAGTGTTTAAGAGCTTTATTGTTGTTATAGAAATATACAAAACGTGCGAGCGTACCTACTTCTGCTGTCAGGTTCAGTAGTTTATTGTCATTGTATAGAAACATATTTTTTTGTATCAGAACGAAAGGAAAGCAACACTTGTTAAATAGGTATCTAGTTTCTATGTATATGCAAATCACAGTATTTTACAATATTGTCTCCCGCCTGAAGGTAGGTAGAAGGTACCTATATCAGTATTATAATTGCACGAATGCACTCCTGTATGAGAACATGTGTACTGTTACTTAATACGTGTGGTTAACTGGTGCAATATTACGTATGTAAGTAGTTGTTAAGCCAGCCGCAAGTTAATACTTCACTGTATTATGAGTACGCAGTAGAGTATCGCTTCGCCTCGCGCCACCGCTACGACGATGTCACTCGCTCTGTGCCTCCCGCGCTCCCGCCGATACAACGGTGCCTGTCTTCTGTGCTCGAACTTATCTAACATCGGTCTATATAACACTCTGCTTGTTTCATACATACTATTAGCATTTACTCTTCTAAACTAACTATGTGAACGATGTTGGCTTTCGTATTATCTATAGTTACTTATATCTTACGAAATTGTTATCTAATACGATACTGACTACTTTAACTAATCTTTAATCTTGTTTATTGCCTTCTTAGTTACTTTATAGTACCTAATGTATTAATCTAGAATACTAATAATTATGTATAAGTCAGTTTCAATTGTAATACGAGACGAGATTAGATTAGTTACCCACAATATTATAACTAATGTAAAGAGCTTGATAAAGCTTTATAAAGAAGAGTTGTGAATCGAACATGTGGCCACGTAACGTTAGAACAAAGATTAGCGTAACTGCTTTGACTGTTAATAACAATTAAGTTTATTAAGGATTTTCACTAAACTTAGTGAAGTGACATGTTTCTCGATCATGGGCTATTCATTAATTATAAAATGAAAATTGCTTTTATACGGAATATAATGAATAAAAATGGTTGCAACGCTCTATTCAGAGCTCTTTAGGGTTATAAAATTAAAGTTAATTGGCGTTATTGTATTGCTAAATATATCTAGCATAATTCACAATACTGTTGTGTGTTCATAAATGAATTGTGCCAAAACAATTCTGGATCAGGCATTAGCAATAATCATCAATCAAGTTATTCCTATGGGAGTCCGAATAAAAGGCCAATTTCGAACGATCAGTCAACCAAACGAACGATATCGGAGAAGCCCGGCGCGTCACTAGAATTAACAGTCACTGCTTGGATCATGGTCATTTCATGGTATAAAGTTAACGAATACACGGTATTATTTACTTGTCATAGAATCATTGGAGTACATACGTATATTTGTAGGTCGTGAATACAATAGCTGTGCCATTGTGCCTCCTCGCTTAGAATTTAGCGTTTAGCTAATTAGCACCGTTACAGAAATATTCCAAGATAATTATTTTATTTATCATAAAATAAAATAATAGTGAAGTACACAAAAAGAATCGTTCATCACAATAAAGATATCATAAGTAATTGATTAGAGTGTAAGTAGAGTTAGCGGTACAGTGATTTGTGATATTACAAGATACTTATCGAGATTTAGTACAACGTCCTATAATTTCAACGTTTTTATAGTTATTAACTTTAGTAACACGAAAGAACACCAAGATAGTTACCAAATAAATACTAAATTATTATGTACTTAATAGTTAAGTTATACTATAGACAAGGTATATAGTTCGGGACCTCGACGCAAGAGACCCTAGCAAGAGATTCATCTATAATTAGATATAGAGAAACATAATGCTAAATATGAAGTTGCCTATATGCAAATGATCACTTAGCAGGGGACATTAGAAGCGCGATATAATTAGTTGATAGTGAACGAATGGCCTGTAAAATAAACTGTTTGACCTACCTCGACGCAGAGCAATCTAAAGCAAGGATACATTCTAGGTATAAGGGAACATTAAGAAATATTATTTGCACTTCAAGAGAGTAGTACATTATTAGATCATTATAGTTTCAGAGTAACTAAATAAAATAAATATAATGAAATAAAACTGAGCTTCCGAATGTTGAATGCCTAATATCTTACCACGGTTTTGACCGCGTGAATACAATAAAACGCAATAATAGTTAAATAAACAGAGCATATAAAAGTAAATTAATGAAACAATAATCCCATACCTACTTCACTAGTGTAAGAACACATAAATGATGTGCAAAGTACTTAAGTATAATATCTACATATATTTTCTATTATTCTCTTACAAGTAATGTGTAAATTGATTACCCTGAAGGAGTAAAACCCCGATAAATGAATAGGTATTGTAAATAAATTAATTTTGATAGAATTAAATTCAGTGAAGATGTCTTAGTTAAAACGTATCGTCGAATGTTTCAAATCAAATTAATGTTACTTTGTGTATAAAGATTGTATTGTCGATAAACTGTTGTGATTGTTATAATATATTTGAAGTTGCATTTTCATTATTATAAGTAGAAGTATATTTTCCATAGTGCTGCCAAAGATATTTAATATTATATCTAGATGTAGTAACGTTGTTTACATAACAGAATATTTTGAGGTTGTTCGTGAATTTATGGATTGTATTTTGATGTGGTCGACGAATGTAATAACACTGTGTACGTGATCTATTACATCACCAAATAAAAGAGAATTCATACGAGAACTAGTGTTTCATTTCCTTGTACTAATGGACGGTTGGCGTTTAAAATAAAACGATCGACTCCTATATATTACGTATTTATTTATATTTATTCAAAGGTACAATATATTACATCGTCGAACTTCATTCCTCTCCCAACACACATCACAAGTCCATCGTACTGACTAAGCAAATGATCTGTATGGTAATGGGCCGTTACCCTACACAAAATACAAAATTAAGCATAATCTTATCACCTAAATTACTAAATTTAATGCGGAAGTCAATACTGTAGTGGAGGAAATAATACAAATTTATTTTAACATTGCATGCTGGTTAAATAAAGATTATGCATGTCTCATAAATAACGTGTCATTTAGTAACAAAACCTGATAATATATATTTTGCTTGTAAGACAGTAATGACTAAACAAAATATTTACATAACCTAACATAAATTGCTAACTGATAAGCGGTATATTGTTGAATACAAGTCTTAAGAAGATATTAAAACAACAGTAACTTTATAGCATGTATTGAAGTCGATCAAACAAGTATATGCACGTATTGAAGTGTGACAACATAATGATAATGGATTCAGTATATAATACTAGACTGCTCCATGCGTTCGCCTTTGTTGTTGGTGAGAGATCCTTACATTCCCTTATCCGTTACTATAAAGAAACGCTAACAACTAGCTAGAGCTAGATTCTATTTCACAACTGAACTATGAGCATATTTTAATATCACTAAGCACAATATAACTTTGTTTAGTTATAACAAACGCCGTGCGAATCAAACCTCGGACTGGTGTACGAATGCACCGATAAGCCGAAACCGTATTACATTTTGTAATGATATAGAAGTAAAAAATATTATTTTATTATCTAATTCACTTTAAAATTTAGAATGGTGAATTACCTAATGCGAATTTTTCGAATAGCTACAGTATTCTCTCTCTACTTATAAATATAACAAGAAATAAAAGCGGTAAACATAAATATATCTCAAACATTATTATTTATTATGCTATATTTATCAGTAAAGATATAGATTTTAGTGCCTATGTATAATTTCATCCTGGTATTGAGCTGAATCGATCACGTTTCTGATTGAGTTGTCTATCTAGTGTTACTGAACATAGTACATTATAAATACAATAAAACTTTAAACATTCGTCTTTGATAAAAGTATACCGATATTATAAGCTATTTGGCATCTTTATGGACGTAAATGTCTACTCATAAGCTGTAGTATTGTTTGTGCTAAATCCAACGCTGCTAGCAGCTAAACAGTTTTAAATACCAAAAATAAAAAACAACCATATAAAATATGTTTTACAAAATCCTTTGGAAACATAAGAAGTATAAAATTAGGCCTCACTTATCATAATAAATGCTTTGTCATGGAAAAATCTTATAAATAAAATACATACAAAAGTAATCTCATACAATACAGAATCGTGGTGAATTTTGCATTAACTTCCCCAACGCATGCCAGTTACATAGTTATTACATCCTGTAGTCTTCATTAATCGTTGTCTCATTATGCTAAGTCCATACAACTATAAGATACTAATTATTTAAGTGCGTCGTGTGCGGACAGTTGTCCAATTATATTACTATTCCAGTTGCGACACTCTTAAAAGACCAATCTGCAAATGACGTAAAAAATCTCAATACGTGACGTAAAATTACAAGAATATTATAAATTACAATATTTTTGGCAAAACATTTTCAAGTGAGGCTCAGTGGCACACCCTTTTACTTAGTACGTTAAATGTTTCATGGATTTGCTTGCTTTTGTGATATATTTATTAACAATAACTTTGAATAGATTTATTAGAAGTAAAAAGGTCATTCACTGTCCGATTTCAGAAAGAACAGTCACCAAAAGAGTGATTTAGTCACAGAGATACCTCGATATACAAAAGTACAAGTTTGAAGTAAAGTAATTAGTGAGACAAACACTTGTGAATACACATTGCTGGACAGAAGACAGAAAGCAATTTTCACTTGACAAATATTTGTGTTTACGACAGTCCGACCCGTCACAACACTGAAATGGCACTATATAACCCAGAGTTAGGTTCACAAATAAACACTTATGTAACAAATCTCGCTACCCGAAGTCAAAACCAGATTATGTCAATCATGAAATCTGTTTTTCAAACAATCACGATATGTACAGTCCCAGTAAAAGAAGGACTTGTCAATTATAGAATTAGTGGAATTCATACAGATATTCTATTTTACAAGGCAAATAGTGTTTTAATACGTAAAGTATTAATGTAATGTTACTTTCAAAGAGTCACAATAATTATAGAATTTGGAATGAATTACATAGAGTAAGTTTCGTCACAGAACTGAAGACTGCAGCAAGAGTGCAGTCGGAATCTCAATTAGCATTACAGCTATGTACTAGAAAATCATCGATCGAAGCTATTCGGGTAATTCGGTACTGACGAATAAAAAGGCAGAACGCCAAGGCATGATTCGTTAATTTTAAAGTTTAAAACGCGATTTTAGGAATCAAATTGTATTTGTACTCGGACCTCGTTTCTGTCGATTTGATAATTAATTTTTGAACGCAGTGTCGACCGAGGGAACCGACACTCGATCGATGATGTGGCGCCGCGCGCGCCGCGAGGTTAGTCACGCAAGTAACGGTGGGTGCGAGGCCGACGAGACTGTGCTCGAGTTTAGAACAAACCTTTCTTTTTCTTGTCCTTCTTATCCTTGCCGTCGACAGTTCTGAAAAGTTAATTACAACAGATTAGACACTGCACATCCACATATAATAAAACGTACATGAAATAAAATTATACGGCTTGCTGTCGTCCACACAATACTCATTATACACAATTAAGAGCTCCGGTGTAATTCGAAACTAGTCGGATACTGTTACTGAATAATATAACAATGTTAAACTTTATACTATCTAAGACGCACAGTAGCCATTACAGAAAACACATATCTACATGATAATTACCCTTAATCTCGTTGACCCGCAAGATTAAGTAGCAAGTAGGACAAATAAGGCTAGAGTTCAAGAGAAACACTAAGAAATAATGTAGCATGTAACGTACTCCTTGCTGTTGGCTTCGAGCGAGCGTCGCCGCAGGTCGTCCAGCGAGAGTCCAGTCTCCCGCTCCCAGGCGAGGCGCTCGGCCTGCAGCGCGCGCTGTCGCTCGTCGAGCTCCCTCGCCTGCGCCTCCAGCGCGCGCCGCGTCGCCTCGTGTCGCCGCGCCAACTCCGCCTCCGACTCCTTCAGCTTGGCTCGCTTCTCGCGTACCTTCATCTCGAACACCTGTAATTAAATCGTAGAGCATTGTATTTAAAAAACATTTTAGGTATAGAAGCAGGTATAGATCAACTTCTGCACAGTATATGGCCGTGCAGAAGAACACTTGTAACGCCTATTATTTATAAACAACCACCAAATTACAAACTATAAGACTTTTCAAGAGCTACTCGACGACGATTAAATCACCGTTATTTCTACCACTAATCAGCTATGGGAGATTCTATAGGAAGTTCCTAACAAACTACCTAAATAATATATGTAAATATGTGCTGAAATATAGGTGCATTCCTCTCCATTCTCACATTGTAATGAGCTGGTTTTGGCACAGGACAATGTAGTTGATTGATTTCCGAGTCACAAAAAATATCACTTGTGAGCGCTCAACCAAGCAGACGAGCAAAAAACGTTCGTATCAGTAACAACCATATTATATTTCGTTATTACATTTCAACGATAAATAAAATAAGCCATCGTTATTAGATAGCGCACTGTAGTGGCACGCCGACGGTGATAGCTATTGGAAACTGTCCCAGTGTACGTGTCACGAACATACTTCCTTTTTAATAAGTAGGCATAATGACAGACAATTGACTTGCCCATACGTGATTGGATTCTTCAAGCGCACGATAAATGGCTTGTCGCAAAATTATTCATAATACATAAATCAAGTCACTAGTTATAGTGATGTTGTATATTATTAAACACTATTTATGATTCAACTACATACTAATTAAACAGGGCGACAGGACACTGACCTGTTCCATTTCACTTTCCATTTTCTTCATCTTAAGATCATGCTCTCGCTTCTCCTCCTCCATTTGAGCCAGTGGATTCCTGAGAACAAATATAAACATTTAAAACTATCCGAATGATTAACCACCAGTGGCAGGAAGTAAAATAAACGTAAAATAAATGAGTTATACAAAAGAAATATCCAAAAGTCATGCAAAAACCAAGAAAAAGGTTTGTGTCCAAGTGTAATGTAAAGTATTTCTTTATTAATATACATTCATATCATGTCTAACAATATATCACATCAATAGGTACTTCTATAGACAAAGGAGGGCAAAGCGTAATGTGAAATGTGGGACACAGTTGACCAGTCACGTTTAAACGACGGCCAATTCACCTAGACCAATTTGTCAATTGGGTTCAGTTGACGGGAACAAATTCCTTCGTTTCTACAATAAGGATAAAGTATTTAACATGCCAGACAATAATACGCATTCCAGAACATCCGCTGAACTAGAAAGTATGAAGCTGACAAATAAAAGCAAAAGCATGCATTACAAAAGTGGGAACAACGTAGATACGTAAACAACACATTTATAAACAAAGTACATAAATACATGACTGCTTGCAAGCTTAAACTTTATTTAAATTAACTTCATTGGCAAAATTATATGCAAATTCATTATTACATAGTTTGTCGAACAAAATCAATGAGCCGTAAAACTATTACTAATAAAGGATGTTTGTAATTCTTTCACACAAAACTACTGGACGGATTATGATGAAACTTAGTACACACCATGATTAATGATTAACAAACGGATTGCTAGTTACTAAGTAAACGGCAAATTGAATGTAATTTACTTACAATATATCAAAGTTTAAGCTTACAATGCACAGAAAATAAAGCATGGCAAAAGAAAATGTACCCAGATCCGTGATACCACAAGAGTATTACACCATCATTGTTTTTAAATAGAGATGTTCAATGATTGTATCACAGACTGGATGTTTGGCAAGAGATGGGCCATAACAATTAACACCGTGCTATGTGTACAAGCTGCAGTTATGAAAATACGTCGGACGCGACGGACTTACCAAACGGTCATGAAACTGTTCATCAATCCTTGCGGGCACAAACTGAACCAACACAACCAGAGTTAACGACACACGGCTGTGACCCGCAAACACTTCACAGTGGCATTAACAAACAATCACAACAATAAAACACATAAGCAAAATATGCGGCTATTGCATAAATACTTAATACTCTGATCCTAATACATATGCATCAATGTGCTGCATTCGTGACGGATAAAAACACAAGTTACGTTTTTTTACATCCCGCATGACGTAAGCCTACATAAATTCGAAAGACAGTTTACCAATACATTCATGAACTTATTACACAAGTGAATGACTGAGAAATCAGTGTGCATCAGTGTGTAACACACGCAAATTAGTTGCCGGCGACACTGTCTCCGTAACAAACATAAAGACAAATACATTGTTATTAATGCCACTGTGTAAGCGCGTGAACTGCAAGTTATTATGATATATGATATCCATCATGGTTATTTAAAAAACAAGCACTTGTTACCAATTTATTATCATGTTTGTGGTTTTTAAATAACCCATGTAACACAAAGATTATGACAGACATTAACAATTAATATTTCATTTCTGCATGCCCAAGCACAGAACGTTCAGTAATTAAAGAATATCAATGCAGAGCTATTTAATAAAATGTATCTAAGATATTAAAAATAAAATAAAACTCTGTAGCACACAACTGCGACAGTAATAGAAGAATTAATGTTGAAGGTGACCAGACATGCAGCAATGAAGAAATTATTAAATAAAATCACTTGATTAATGTTTCAATTGTTAGTTAAGTCTTATTATTATGATTAGTCCATGAAATTCCAAAAGTAAGTCTGGTCACCTTAAATGCGGTGACAGCAGTAATAAAATAAACAAATGTTAGAATATCGTTAAATATACGTATGTTCCAGCAACCCTGTCTACTTAGGTTGTTAGATCTAATCATGCCTGTTTCAAAAACATTATTAGAAGATCTACGGAGACCAGAGAAACAGGTAAAACGCTTGGTTGAAAATGTTAATTTGTTAGCACAACTTGCCTATATGGACATGGAGAGCGAAATGAGCGACAGATAGGTTAGCAACGTTCGTCTTACTTGTTGGAGTTGATCCTGTGCGGCTTCCCATCGTGTGACAAGCCGGCCAGCTTGCGGCACCGGTAGTTCTCGTAGTGTACTGAGCTAGTGACGTCCTTCAAGTCTTGGAGATGCGTCCTAATTACCATGTTGCGTAATGCTAAGAAATCGCAGTGCTCCAGATTTTCAACTGTAAACATATAGGAAAATGTGATAAGGAATATTCTAGAGTTATAATTACTTGTCTAAATAACAAATTAAAATGTTTGCTTAGTTACCCTCAGCGATGCCCCAGGGGTACTTGCGCCCGCGCACCCGTTTGCCCTCGGTCTCGATGACGGTGTTGGCTCCGACCACTGCGAAGGGCACGCGCATGCGCAACGAGCGCGCTGCCTCCGCTACCTCGCCCTCCTCGCCCGTGCTCTCGGGGAAGTCGTAGATTTTAATCTTGTGTTGACTGATTTCTTTCATTATCTATAACACATTGTATGGGGTTATTATTTTACAGCACGAAAGAAATCCACAGGAAACATTCATCCAAGCACAGTATAGTGCAACTCTGTCTCTGCCCTTAGTACTTACTTGTTCTTTAAAATCTTTACATTCCTCCGGTGTCATGGTATCCGCCTTGGCAATGACTGGAATGATATTCACTTTGTCACCAAGCCGCTGCATGAATTCGACATCGAGAGGCTTGAGGCCGTGTCCACTGGGCGCGATGAAGTACAAGCAGCAGTGCACGCGAGTGTCTGGCGGCGCCGCCTTACGCGTCACCCGGGATTCAGCATTCAGGAACTCTTCATACTTCGACTCAACGAAGTCAATGATAGGTTGCCAACTACAAACAAATTATAATAACTTAAATGAAAGTCTATTAAGACACTATCTCTAATTATGAAATCAATCTACTGTGCAATCAAGAAAAAATGTGAACGATAATAGTAAATTGTTTAGTGAATGTCGTCAGTAAACAATTTTCGCGTGTTAGTAGTTGATTTGCAACAATATTATTGCATGCAACGTAATCGAAAGGATGTTTTGAATCACGCACCAATTACTGTTGTCTACGGCATCGCCGAAGCCTGGTGTGTCGACGATAGTCAGTGTAAGGTTTACACCATTCTCTTTGAGAAGCACCACGCTGGTCTCCACGCCCACCGTCTTCTTGACTCGTAGTGACGGGCCAGGGTGCTTGTCCCGGTCATACACGTCCGTCAGGAACAATGAGTTTATTAGTGTTGACTTGCCCAAACCAGTTTCACCTGCAAACAAACGAGTTATTCATCAACAAACTTTATTTCTGAGACAAGGCATATTAGTAGCATGAGTAACAAACAATAAAGCGTTCAGAATGTGTCATATTTCTTTATCTTTTTTTGACGTTAACTAATTTATATTATCAATAAACTGATCTTACCAACAACCATTAGCGTAAATTCAAATCCTTTTTTCACTGCTTTTCTGTATACTTGGTTTGGTAAATTTGCAAATCCGACGTATCCATCTAATTCTTTGGTCTTTGGTTTTTCTAATTTAGGTAATTCCGGTTTTGGGGCGACAGGTGGGTGATCAGGCTTCTGAAAATTACCAAAAAAAAGATAGGATTAAAGTTGAGTGGCATACAAAATATCCTTCCAAGTAATTTAATAAAAAGTACGCGAACTTTTTAATCGCATTGTTTAAATATCCTCAAAGGAATACAACAGTGTTATTGTTCTGACTACACGTTTATAATGAACACTGTTATGAGATAATAATCGTCGTGATTGTTTCCAATATATCATTAGCGCGACGAAATAGGTAAGCGCTTCTTTATGTTCTACTAGCTTCTGCCCGCGACTTCGTACGCGCAATCCCGATATTTCCCGTTTCCGTTCTTGATTTTCGGTAAAAAGTAAAAAAAAGAATTGGGTGAAAAGTATGCTATGTCCGTCTCCTGGTTCTAAGCTACCTCCCCACCAATTTTCATCCAAATCGATTTAGTCATTCTTGAGTTATAAATAGTGTAACTAACACGACTTTCTTTTATATATATAGATTAAACACGTGACAGAAAATGGGAACTGGCATGTGTAGTTTAATTATCATTAGACTGTAGACTATACATTACAGTTATTCAGCATTGACATATCTTTTATTGAACAACGCCAAAAACTATTCGGTATAATGAAGTAGTCAAAAAGGAACGGATAAGACAGGAACAGGAAACATTAACGCGTGCTCACTGAGTTAGCGGAGAGTTTATTCAAATGCATAAGTGGTTTTGTGACATCGTTACCTTGATAATGTTTTCTGTACTCCTGAGCGGAGGCGGCCCTCCGGGTGGGGCCGAAGTGGGCACTGGGGGTGCGGGCGTGGGCGGCGGCGCTGCGCTGGGTGGCTTGGACGCGTCCACGGAGACGCTGTTACTGAGCTTGGTAACGGTCCCATTGGACTCGTGGTGGTTGTTCTCAAGCTGGTCTGGCAGCGTGGTAGCGCGCTTGGCCAGCGCGTCCTTCAGCACGGAGGGCGGCGCGGGCGGCGCAGCTAGCGGCGGGCCCGTCGCACTCACGCCGCCACCACTCACCGAGTCCGATTTGAAGAACAATTCGCGTTTACTTTGTAACTGAAAACAAACAGAATTGTCTTTGAGAGAACGTCTACGTGTTTATTGGCAGGTTAATAATTAAAAGCAAACCACAACATACACATTTCACACAGGCTCAGGTTGTGTTACCCTTTCATCAATAGCATAAAGAAAAGTTATTGTAAACATATTAACGTATCTTAAATGGCTAACAAACTTCATTCTACCAAGCCTTCTAGCTAGTATTCTAGCGAAGACCAGTAAAGTTTCGTCAAATAATTCTGACATCTTCATATTCATGACGACGACGAGCATCGACATCGACTATACTAGAGCGTTCGATGGAGTGCTCGTGATTTTTGTAGCAATGTTTTAGCTCGGCCCGTTGTTCAATTCGACTGATTAAAAAAAGACGAATATTTAATATTCTGTGATTAGTGAATGCTCCAGGTCTATCAGTACTTTCCCAGTCTTAAAAGTTTTAAAAGTTGGCAATTGGTTTTAACATCGTCTAAGCGGCAATCTTTCCATTGGTTTTGAATTTATGATAATTTTTTAGCATCTTGAGAATTTATTTCTATTGAATCACGGTTTTTTCGTTGACCATGATGGACGAGACTCATAAATCACGGTAAATAAGGAAACTAAATAAATAATTATATTCTTAATGTTTTTGATATGTTATTCATTTGTAATTTTTTGTAGATCTATCCGAGAAAAATGTCTACAATAAACTACAGTAGTGTTGTCAACTTAACAAATTAGTACATAGGTGTTATATGGTTACACGTTCCCTTATATTCCTTTAGCTCAATGCGCATTCCCATCAAACAGACCCCACTAACGAGATTCCCGCTGCGAAAACTCATAAATTCACCGTGAAATAATGAAGAGAGTTGTATGTATCGCAACATCGTCGCAGTAAACACAGACATGTCAAGTATAGCTGAACGAGTCGGTCTAGCTGGCTCCATGCGAGCGTCAGATGACTCACCGATTCCAAGGTAACGTTAGTGGACAATGTAGAAAATATAAGGCATAATTAACTAAGAATAGCTTGGCATCTACAGTAGCAAGCATATATCGGATACTACTTATAAGATAATTGCAGAGGTATAGAAACCTCAGAATGGCGTGAGTAGAACCGCATTTATAAGACAACACTACGTACGACGGATATTTGAAAGAAAATAATATTGTGTGTGAAGATAGTTTCACTGCATAAAACTAATACATGAACACGCATCGTTGCGTCGATCAAGTAAACCAAGTCGGAGTCGTACAATAACTAGTAATTACGTAGGTGCGAACAACGAAAGCGATGACTCACACAGCAGATCATAAGTGTAAGTATCTACTTATACCCCCCACTGCAACACCATAACATAATATGAGAGGACTAGTCGATATAACTGCTCTCCTAAATAACTGAAATAAAGTTGTAGATAACAATAAATTATAAAACTGTAACACAATCGAATACCGCATTTCTCGAATGTCTAGTTCAGAATCGCATCGCATAACTCAATAAGATAATTAACGAATTCAGAGTTTGAAAGACAATAGATGCATGACACAAGAACAAAGACTCATAATATTATAGACATTACTATTACTCCTTTTACACGCACATACGTACGTACACCATTAATAAATATTTATAAATAAGATACCCGCATGAACGTTTAGGCATACGCAAAACGAACAAGAAAGTGGATCTGTGGATATGCAAACACGTATGCAGTTTTGCGAAGTGCGACGACCGTAATGCGTCTGTGACGGTTGATTCTAATAATATCCACAAACGAAGTTCCAAGTTAACAACATCCTAACTATCACAGTTAACCTTAAACTTACAGCGATATCGTCGTAGGAGTTGCTTTCATTAACCATTCTTAAGGTTTCCCCACATTTAACACAGAATTTTAAAAATAATGTGGAACATTTATAACCATTTTCTTGGAAACTGTGAACCAAATTGGAGAGTACAGAGAGGTTTCTGTCTCCGACAGCTGCCAGTTATATTCGCGCAGTAGTTGCAACATCGACACGCGGCGCATCACGAACAAAATGCATTTCACCATTTCACATGACACACTTTATTGTGATGTCAAAGACAAGACAAGGTTCACTTTATAAAATCGGTAGCCCTCTATGAATCAAGTGCATAACGACAAAGTACCAATAAAGCACTGAGTGCCGTCTGCGCTACAGCTAGACTGCCACCACCATCCGGCAAGTGTTTACCACAGCTCGGACATTGTACTGTAACGTAAATAATCAAGCGGACTCAACATCGAAAAGGAATTTGTTTGTTTGTAGAACAAGCACGTGTAAACAATGTATACCGAAAACTGGAAACAAATGTACCACCACTCAAACGTGAAATCATTCATATCAACACTAAACGTTACGTAGCGTTACTCAACATTCAACATGATCTACTTACATCCTCACTGACAATTTCCTTTCTGATGGCTTTTTTCTTGTGTTTCCTTAAACTCAATCTTTTCTTGAACGTATTTAACATTATACTGAATCAATGTAACTGTTAAACTGAAATTATTCGATATCTGGAGAACACAAACACTCGTCACACCACTATCAACTACTCGCATTAATATTAAATTATAAGTACCATGAACTTGAGTACGGACGTTGTAATAATATTGTATATTTATTTTAATACAAAATAACACAATTCAAGTCAATAGGGATAAATATTATCACATTATCCACATAGAAATAGGCAATTAGCCAGTACAGGCTCCACGGTCGTCGTTTACTCAACTGAGTAAAATTTATAATACAGTATTGTTTGTACGAAGCAGTGACGCTGACACATTGCTGAAAACATCGCTGACTAATATTAACTAGAGATTAGGTATTGTTTAACGGTAAAGCAGTATGCGTAATTACGAGTACACGTATTGTCATCTAAGATACTTTACTATCTTACTAACAAAGGTCATAACTGGACAAATATTGGGTAATATAGTAAATTAAGCGCACTACTGCTGATTAGAAACGACTGGAACCCTTCTTTTTAATAGAGCGATTATAACGGCTCTAAATAGTAAGCTTTAAATGCAGCAATTACACGAGTGATTGGATAGCGACAATGCAGTATTGTCCTCTATTCGAAACGTCAGGCGTCAATAACCAAAATATCGTATAAGTACACAAAAGATCATTCATTTGTGACCATTCATAGAACGTTATCTCCATTAAACATAACTGTTTAACTTTCAACAAATCTTCCCATTTGTTCTTATAATTCTAATCTTTTGTTTTCTAGCCATGTTGTAAATGCTTGTATGTTAACACTAAGAAACATAGGAACGGTATCTGTGGAATCGCACGTAGAATAATAAACAGTTTCATCTGGCAGCTCTATGGCCTACAGCTACGATGTCGGTATTTGTCCTCAGCCGATAAAAAAATGTCTGTCTCAGACATTTCCAGAATAATTGCAATGCTTTGCTCGCGGCGCCATGCCACAGAGACATGACTCGTTCGCTGAGAAATCACGATGACTCTTCCTGGCTGTATAGTCTGAGTCATTAACGCCTTGTCTCCCTTTCACACTGCTTCAAGAAATTATTATCCGTTCATGATATTTATATAATTATGCAACTCTTATAAAAACCAATATAAATCTTGATGGCGTGGATTTTTATAAGTTTACAAATAATAATTTTAATGCCTACTAGCATGAAATATAAAATATTTACTTTCTTGCTAGTAATAATAGTTCTAGACAACAGTGTCGGTTCATTTAGTATGAATAGACACGGTTGCGGTCAATGTGCACAGGTGTGTGCATGACTGCCTCATGTCCGTCCCCATCGCGTTAAATGTGGCTTGTTCGAACTTCATAAACTATGTTGGTTGTGAAAATTTGTTATACATTTTATAAGTTTTGTTTTATTTGTATTGTACGTTCTAAATATCAGTAAGCACTGTACAAGTGTATAGTCATTTTATTGATTGAATACGATGCAGTAGGCATGCTATGTAAAGCTTCTGTTTTATAGATAACATTGACAGTACCTAAATGGCTATCAGCTTAAATGTACTAACGCATTAAGGTACTCCCACAATAATGTACATTTAATTTAACTTTCTGCAAGAGATTTGACATGTCTGTTCATAACAGATAGGTCAGCATCATCATCAGATAAATCGGTCCCATAAATACAGGTTTCTTCTAAACGTAAACTAGTCTTCGGATTCAACATAGCATTGCATCTTAGTAAACTTCAACAATATTGTTGATCTAATGTTAGTCAATACAGCCAGCTTTTAAGTATTATTTGAAAGACGCAATGACAAAATGTCATGTCATGTGATTTGTTTTCATTCTCTGGAAAAAAAAATGTATTTATTACTACCAATAAGCACCTGCCCTCTGCGTTGTATAAAAAGCATACAGGTACAATCATAAGTGCATCGATTTCACTGTAAGTTCCCAAAAAAGAAATTTGGGTCGTAAGTAATGCAGTCTTCATACTTTCTCCGTAATTTACAATTTTACATACACAACAACAGAAATAATTTTTACAATTCTTTCGATTTAATTATGTGTTAAGCGTTACCAACTCAAGTATTTTTTTCTGATTTTCTTGAACACCATATTAGGTCCTGATTAAGTGCCCATACACAATTTTAGTAAGAATATTTTTGAAAAACCTATTGGTTAATTGTGTCAATGAAGAATGGATACGTGTTAATGATGTATTGCATATTATGCATACTGACATCATAACTGGCTTTAGCTTCGTTGCAGGAGCAGTGCAGGGTTATCGACCGTTTTATGTAAGGACTGATTCGAAGCACATCAATTCAATGACAAATGAACAGCGTGAGAATCCTGAATACAATACTTTGCCTGAATTTGTTTCGCAATAAAATGGATCGCTTGCAAACCTACGCTCCATAGAATAACAATTTTATTAATCTTCTGATGTAAAGATTGTAAGATATACGAAAGTGGGCGGAGGATCTTCGAGCGTAGGCAAACCGGAGTAGACACAAAA